ACCGGAAGTCTGGGGGGCGGGGCCCGGCGGAGGCCAGGAGACCGAAAACGCGGCCGAGCCCGGAGCCCGGAGCCGGAGCCAGAGCCTGGACCAGAACTTGGCCGCCGCCTGCACCGCCACCGCCCGCCGTCCGCCTCCCTTTCCCGGCGCTGCCGCCGCCTCGGCCACCACCTCCGCCAGCTTGGCCGCCAGTGGTCCGCGGACTTTGGGTGTCCTGGTTGAAGGTCGGTCCGGACGTCGGACCCAGCTCGGTTCTCGGACTGTCCGGGAGGCAGCGGACGCCGCCGCTGCCGCCGCCGCCTCCTTGTCGCCTCAGCCTGGCGTTTTGTTCCGAGAGACCGGAGAGGCGAGCAGAGCTGACAGTGATTTTGACAGTGATTTAAACCCGCTTTTGTTGTTGTTGGTTTTTCGTTATTTGGTTTTGTGTGTTGTGCGTGTGTGTGGCGGTTTTTTTCCCCGTGGTTGCATTTTATTTTTTATTGTTGTGCTCTTTTTTCCTTTTTTTTTTTTTTTTTTTTGTCCCTTGAACGTTTTTTGTTTTTTGTTTTTTGTTTTTTTTTGGTCGGGTCTTCCGAATATGTTTTATGACGGTTGATTTTACACCAGGAGGTTTGTCTCCGAGGAAGACCTAGGGAACTGGATATCTAGCGAGAACTTCCTACGGATTCCCCGGCGCCTCGGGAAAATGGGAGCTGCTGCAAAGTTGGCGTTTGCAGTCTTTCTTATCTCTTGTTCTTCAGGTAGGTGCAGGGAGCGCGGCGCGGCGGGGCTGCTGCTGCGGCCGCGGCTGCCGCTGCTGGGGGCCGCGGTTGTTGTTGGGTTGGTGAGCTCCAGTGGAGCCTGGGGAGGTTGCCCCACACCCCGAGCCCCTCGGCTGCCACCCCCGGGTTTGGTTGTGATCTGGAAACCTCCATGAATGTTTCTCCTTTCGAGTTGGGTTGGCGAGCTGATGAGAGTGAGTGCTGTGTTGTTGTGGAAGTGAGAAAGTCATGGTTTGTGGCCATAACACTGGATGACAGCGCTGGTTCGGTTGCAATTAAGCCGCAAATACCACAAGTGACAATTTATGCAAAGGTTGAGACCCGAAAGGAGTATTTTGAAATGCCATTTAGTGTGGGCTCCTCCAAAACAAGGGTTGCTTTTTGTAGTCTTTTAATTAGTGCTTCACTGGTGGATATCACAGCATAAGATCAAGTCAGTTGCTGCTTAATTTTGACCGTGAAAAACAGTGCATCCTATATCATCATCAATTTTAGCTGGGTCTCCCTTCACGTTTTCTTCAATTTCAGTGTCCAGTAGTGTTAAAAATAGTTGTAGTTGTTATTGCTGATGTATTAACTATAACCCAGTGCAGAAGAGGTATGCTGCTTGTGTGTTGGTAATGTGCTGGCTTTCAACCACCATTTGTGCTTTGGGCATAGATTTTGCTTACCTGCGAAATACTTATTTTAAACGCTTTGTACTGAAACATTGCTTTCGGTTTAGAACTGACCATGTGAAATTGTTCTTATTGTTAAATATGGTATACTCATAAAACAGGTTTCAGCCCAAGGTTGGGGGAATAATTTGACAATTTTGTATTTGAAATTTTGATTTTATGAGGACGTTCTATGGTTGCAACCAGTGGTTGGAAAAACTGTCTAGTCTTTTTGTATTTGAAATTCTGTAAGTAAATACAGCACCTAGCTCAGAGATGTGCAAATGTACCTAACAGAAGAGTTAGTTCCATAGATGAAACAATTTAGAAGTCGCAATGGATCTGTTTATCATAAAATTTAATATTCAGTTACAAGGTTGTGACATAGAATTATAGGGGGGAAAACGACTTGACAGGTTTCATGGCTATGTCTTTATCTCATTTGCTACAGGGAAATTAGAGGGTGGTAGTCTTCTTTGTGTACCTCTGTGTGTGTATGTGTGTGTGTGTGTTTGTGTCCATCTTCCCCACCCCCCTTTTAATAGAATCTTTTGTAACGTATAGAATTTTGCTGAATGGTACATTTCCTTGTGGTTAATAAATAGATAAAGTCTAGTCTTATGTCTGTAGTGGTATTGATCAGTTCCGGGTGGGCTGAATGTGTTGTGAAATGGCGATCATTGCCAGAGATTAACCAAAAGAATCATGTCTGTTTAAATGGAAGAAGGAACATGCTTAAGGCAGGCTGACAGTTCTTTTTGTGCAGGGTTTGGGGAGGAAGCTAAACAATGGTGTGTCTGAAATGAATGAAGGCCTTGATCACATTAAACCTCTTGCCTTTGTGACATGACTTAACCATGTAGTTTATATCTTTCCAGTAGTACTCTCTTTCTCTGTTCCTGTATGTTCTGGCTGGTGAACTCCTCTTGTTTAAATCCCTGGTTCTGATCTCCTGCCTTTGAGGAGGAGGGGCATCGTAGCCACTGACCAAGGAATTGTGGACATTATTCTCTCCCAAACTCACCTGAGTTGCACTGATTGGTAAAGGAGGTTATTCTTGAGTGGTCTCAAGGTATTACTTCTGGAAATGCAGGCTGTCGCTACAGATCTTGACTTAAAGCTTCCTCTGCTTGGTTTGGTAGTAAAAAGAACTAAGCATTAGTTTCTTATGAGATTATTTTCATTGAGCCAGGATTATTTTCACTGGGCCAGGAGGTTAATAGATAACCTTTTGAAACAAAGTGATTTTGTTGTTCTAGTCTAGAGCATATAAATATTCCATTTATATTAAACTAAAGTACTGTAACATAGGCTTTTTAAAAGGACCATTCCTAGTTTAGCTAAAATATGTCAATCTATTGAAAATAATTGAAATAATCTTAAAGTCCTTAATCCGTGTTTATAGGTGAAGATTTTTAGTACTTGAAATGTCTGATTTTTTTAAAGGGCTTTTGTTATGAATCAAATGTACTTTAAAAGAGATTATTGTGTTTCTCCAACTAATTGATTTTTCTGTGTTACATGTAATCTGGCATGCTGGAAACATGAAGGTGGTTATTTATGAGAATTTAAAAATTTCTCAAGTTATCAGTTTTGTTTCTAGATGTATGATGCTTTTTTTTTTTTATTTAAACCAAATGGGAAACAGTAGTAAAGAGCAATTTTATTCCAGGTGTTTAGGATGGATGTTTACTGTTTGCTTTAGTATTTTGTGGACTTTGATTTTTCAGTTTCCACCCTATGGTATGTGTTCTGGAGACTCATTCTGCAGATTGTTCCCGTAGGATATGACCAAGTGTATAATTTCCTCCTGTCTCTCATTCCAAGGGAAACATTTTGAGTTTTGCCCTTAATCCTGGAATGCCTTCAGATTCCCTCCGATTTTCAATCTTTTCATTACTCTTAATCTTCGTCAGAATCTGTTTCAAAACACAGATCCTAGTGTTTTCTTTTTAAAGCAGAGTGGTTAATTTGTATCTTTTCTCACAATTTGTTAAAGTGTGAGGATGAGTTTAATAGTTACTTTAGTACTTAGGTTTATTATCCTACCTAGAATGATGCAGCTATTGTGGTAGTTGAATTGCATTGAAGTAAGTTGAGAATTCCTTTGGATTCTGTTAGAGCTGTAGCAGTATGGTCAATATATGTGATGAAATAAATGGAAATAAAGTAATTATGTTGCATTTTCTTCAGTTCAGGTAGGCAGTAGTGTGTGAGAGAATGTGAGGTTGGAGGGGGGAGTTGGCAGTTCAGAAAATCTTCTGGGACTCTTCTGAACTTTGGCTAACTAGTGAATAGATACTAAATACTTTGCTCTTTAAAAGACAGAATCTCTTAAATGTTATCTGTGATCAAATTCAAATATAAGGTTAAAACAGAGGGAAACTAAAACCACCTGTCCTCCCGATTCGTTTTGAAATTTTTTCTGTCATTTAAGCTAATAGTTCTTAAGCTGGGATGATTTTTGCCTCTCCCAACCCCCACCCAAGGGACAATTTGAGACATTTTTGGAGACAGTAGGGAGGGGCAGGTGTGCTACTGGCATCTAGTGGGTAGAGGGCAGGGATGCTGTTGATCATCCTTCAAAGGGCAGGGCAGCTTTCTACAACCAAGAATTATCTAGTTCAAAATGTCAATAGTGTTGAGGTTGAAAAATTGTTCTAAATGTTTAATTTTTAAAGATGTTAGTATATTGGTAAAGGAGCTTTGCTTCCCCTCCCCCAAAGTCAGTAATCTAAATTTTATGAGTACATGGTATTGATGATCTATGGGCAACTTTGTATTGAAATTTTTCATTTTTATTTATCTTTTAAAAGTAGAACATGATTAAGTTAGAGAAACTGACTATAGGTATGCACATTCTTTCATCCTATTATACTTTAATAAAAATGTTTTGCTGACTGTTATGAATAAACTCACTAATCACTTGTTTTGATAGAGTGCTCATGAAAACTGCATGTTCTTCAGCTTGATGAAAGATTGGTCATTCTATTGAGTTTAATTATAGGTATTTGCTTTAGATCCAGTTTTCTTCGCCATAATTATCTTCTTTAAGGATATTTCCTCTAATCCTTATTGAAATCACTGTGCTTCTTGGTGGCAGTGTGTGTGTTTAACATGTTAGCTGAAAATTTTCTATGTAGCATGTGGAAGAAGTATGTTTACTAGTACATATTCCCTGAATGAATTAAAGGTAGAAATTTAAGGTTTTTTTTTTAAGTATATTTCTTTTGTCTAGCTAATTTTAATTTCAAGAAACTTTCAAAGTGACTTCTTAATTACATAATTTTCTTAAGAATCATTAGCTGGGTTTTAGTTACCATTAGACTTATTTGGGATTCAGTAAATAATATTTTATGATCTGTTGCAGACCCTTGCCTTTTTTTTTAAGGTTAAATCTTCACTGTAATTAATGAACACTTACTTTGTTTTGAATTCTGGTTTTAAGGAAGTTAACCCAGCCAACCAAGATAAGAATTACAGTGAAATTCTTAATAAATTAAGTAGCACTATGCCATTGAGGAGAAAAATTCTGACTGTTACTCCTACAAAAACTGTGTAGATAAGCTTTATACTATCTCTGTAACACACCTCCCCATACTCTCCTCTCTGGTACTACTGACACTTTAACCTTTTGGATTCATGGGGCTCACTCTTTGTCAGAAATGAAGCATAAATAAATGAGATGACATTTTAATAATCTCCAAATTGTTCATTTAGATTCTAAGACTTTATTTTGTTGCATTTTTTTTCACTTGTAAATACTATTATTTGCTCAACTTTGATGTTACATAAATCTGTAATTTAAATTTGTCTTTTCCTGCTCTCCTATGTTGCCACTTGGCATGTGTCTCTCAGATCATAGGTATGGTTAGTGAGCACTATTGGATACTAAGGTCACTGGTATGCCTTCACTTTTTGCTCTATGTTCTGTAAATTATCATTCCTTGCATTTCCTTTTGTTATAGTCCCCTTTCCATTTCCCCCCCTTATTTATCTACACCCTTTTCTTCCTCTGTCCTTTTTATACTTCTCTGTAAGGTCGACTCCATGTTTGGGAGGACCTCAGTTGTTGCTTAACGTTAAGGGTGGCTCAAGAGGGCTCACCCATGGCTTACGTGAAAATGGATTGAATTTAAAATGCTTGAGAATTGACCAGATAGTGTTCTCCACTATTCTTTGTGTCTGGACTGTTGCATACACACTTGGGAGTAGTGTTACTTTTTTGGAATCAAATAGTTGAACTTTAGATTGCTCTTATTCTATTTTTTAATATTCAGATTTCCTTAATTGTTGGCTGTTTACAAAAAGTCTCTCTTTTAT